ATCCTCGGAAATTGAGCTTAGCGACGGCCTCCAGTCGCACGAATTTACTGAGCTCCTGCGCTTTCTGCTGCAGCGTATCATTCGGCTCGGCGCCCTCACCAGTGACCTCGTCTCCTCAGAAAGCGGAGCCGGCTCGCTGGTGGATGTTGAGGGGCGAGTGGCCCTGCAGCACGAGACGAACTCTAAAAAGAACTTCATGGCGTGATTTTGCTGTTACGATGTGCGTCACCTGAGAATTGTGTGAAAGAGGGGCTCGAAATTGTTGAGATTTACGGTTTGTGCCATTGGCGGGATCTCATTTTCGTCTACGGTTCAGGCTATTTAGTTTCAGGCTGAAGAGATGGAAGGTTTTGGGGAGTGGACTTTGTTCCTGGCTCTCCTCTGGTTTTTGTGGGAGAGCGAGGATTTTATAATGCGTTTGGTTTGGGTGGATATGTTGGGATTTATCTTAAGCATGCGATCAGACTGGGCATGGTTTTGTGGGATTATTACAATTGTGCCCCTGTTTTCGACCGTGTAACTTACATAGAACTAGTTCACTATCATGCCTGCATGTGGCATTATGATCTAATAGTAAAATCATTTGAACAAAAACTTAAATATATTATATTATTAAACAGAAACGTTATGCTAAAAATGAATCTATTTCATTACGTCTTTCTCTTATTTCCAATCATAATGAATTTATGGAATGACATGGTGTGTAGTAGTGCATCTCTGTGGCTCTGTCTACAAAGAAAATTTGACAATTTGATTCAATATACTTGTTTTGTAAATTGAATCAATATTTTGATTCAATATTCGGGGGCCACATGATTTGTTAAGATAAAATATTGCGGAAAGAGGAAGTATAGAAAATACATATAAAGAGCCCCATGATTTTGATCCTTATCAATTCAAATCTACTTCTTAATTATCAAATAAATTTTTAATGGGTAAGATGTGCAAGTAAAAACGTATTTTATAGCGCAAGTGGTAGGGGCGTGCAACGGACAAAAAAAATGGCATAAAAGAGAGTTTCCATGCTTTTTTTTTTTTTTTCTTTGTTAAACGCTAGATTTTTATTAGATTAGATGTTAAATTAACTAACGACTGGGTTTAAACCTGCGCTGTCTTGCAATAGCTCATCACCTTTTCACCACTGTAGTAGAGGGTTGGATTTGTTAGGACTAATGGCATGTGTTTTGATGAATGAAATTGTAAGAAATGAGTGTCATTCTTATTTATGCATTTACAAACAACTGTTTTTTTTTTTTTTGAACAAACGATGTCATCTACACTCAGAGAGTGGAGATGAGTTTAGCCTTACAATGACTAGTAATAATGTGATTCAAATTCGTTTTTGACGAAAATCGAACTTAAGACTTTTTGCCTATAAGTAAAAATGAATGTCTTTCACTTAAGTTGACTGCCTCGGTGGATTCTCCCTATAGCCGCCCTAACCACGTCGTACCCTTAACATAATAATATGTGGGACATTTTATTTTTCATGTTGAAAGGCATGCTTATTCTTAAATGACACAAGGCAATTAACTCTTTAAATACTTCATGTAATCACTTGAAAACAACACCGTAAAACATAAATAAATAAAATAAAAAATTAATGATCGCCAACTGTGATTGTATAAAGGTTACATCACGTCAGCTTTTCAATTTATTAAATTTTGTATATTTAGAATGTGAACTTCAGAAAGAAAAGGAAGCGGATTCTCTCTTGATTCATTTTGTTGGAATCTTAGGGATTTTCACATTTTAATTATTAATTGTATATCGTGTGATTATTTTTTGTTGGATATTATTTTTATTTAATTTTAAATAAAAAAGTTAAATAATTTCTGACCATACAATACACGATAAATGACTAAAATGTAATAATTCTTAAGGTCTCACAAGATGAATCCAGATGGAATCTAATTCCTTCATAAAGTGACTTGTAAATGCCACTTTTCTTATTCAAAATATGCGTCACTTTTTTTCTCAAAAAAAAAACAAAAAATAAAAAGTAAAAAAAACAAAAAAGTGTCACTTTGTATATGGTTGATACGTAATTACAAATTGCTTTGATGTGGTTCGCAGTCCTGGACTTGTGGTGGGTAATCAAGTTATGACAAAGGTATGGAATTTGGCTCTTATGGATTTATTCTTAAATGCCACCGATATTATTATTTTATGCTACACAAATAAAAAAATAATAATTAAAGTCTAAACATAAAACGTAATAAGTTTAAACAAGAAGACACCATCCCCCAAGATAACACACCACTTATGACTTTTTAAAATTCTACCAATAATATTACTTGGTGTGCATAACTTACCAAAACCTAAATTAAAAAAGCATAAACATGCCCCAAATAAAGGGCGACAAATTATTCAAATTTATGTCAATAGAGGTCATTTTTATTCAAGAACCTCACCCACAAAAATACCCAATTATCCTACAAGCCCCATCTGATTATTGTCACGTATTAATATTTTCAACAAATTCTTAAACTCCTCTAAATTATATAATGGACTAAGTACTTAAAACCCCCCAACTTTTTAGTGTCATTCCAAATTAGTCTTAACCTTTTTAAACATTCCGAACAAAACATCTAACCTATTAAAAATGTCACATTCGTTAGACCCTAATTTAATTTTTGTTAAATTAACTAGGCCAATCACAGCTTTCAAGATTAGCACAAAGGTTGGGATGGGGTTTCGGTGGTAGATTGAGCTTGGAGGTGGCAGGGGCTCAATATTTCCCGATCTTCATTTTGTCTTTCATTTTATTTGTGAATTTGTTTGTTTGTTTTTTTTTTTTTTCTCATCTTCGTGTCGTTTTTTAAGTTATTATTATTATTGTTTGTGTCACGGTAAGTTAAAAAGTGAGACTCATTGTTGCCACATGTACATTTAGCAAAAAAATTATCTGAACTTAACGGATATGACATTTTCAATAGATTGGGCACTTGTTTCGAATGTTTTAAAAGATTGAGACCAATTTAGAATGACATTAAATCGTTGAAGAGTTTTAGGTACTTAATCTTTATAAAATAAATAAATTCAATTGATGGGTCATAATCTTTGACGTCGGATTGCCACATGACAAAGGTTACTCGCAGTGCTTTGCCTACGGGGATAAACAATATGTTGGCCAACTTTTGCTCCATCCACTACAATCTAACAAATACACTACACGTTTTGTGTATATTAATAACAAGGCGAATTGGATCAATCAACAAAAACGTGCCACATTTGAACTTGTTATTTATAGAAATGCCTAGCAGCCCAGCAACGAGTTATTTTCATTTATTTCTTAGACCTAATTCTATGATTTTAGTTCTGCAATATTTTTCTTCTTAATTTTGGAAGAGGTTTCGAGTTTGTTTTGACTGTAAAATCCCTCCTCTTACATTATTATTTACAGTTGTCCAATAGTATTATGAGTTGCATCCATAAGACTCGTATCAGTCAGGGATAGCCCGACACAATACGAGTGACTAACGCAAGCATTCCTCATTTTGAACCACGTAAAAGGGTGAAGGGAGTACAATATGCAACCTTCTCAACAATCCAAATTCATTTCCACCACAATTTTGATTCTAGCAAACGAAACAGTAGTTACCAAATATGATTCTCTTTCCTTCTATTCTCCTCCCATTTCCTTCCCTCCTCTCACACTTCCCATTTTGTCCTTCTCTCTCTATAAAAAAACCTTAATATAAGATGTTAACGTGACTTAACCGTGACCGTTTAAATGGGAGAGGAGAAAAGGAAAGAAAAAAAAAACAGGAAGAGAATCCTACTCGTCTCAGACTTCATTCATTTAATCCCAACTTATACCAAAATATTCTTTCTTTCTGCTAAATATCATTTTTGAAAGAAAGCCACAATTCAAGCATCTGTGACTCACTAAATCTGACAGGACCAGTTGTCCCCAAAAATGCTTGCTGCATAGCTGCTGAGAAACGAGGACTCATCTAATATTGTTTTCTCATTCCCCCTCTAATTTCCATTCAACCAAAAAACGATTTGTTTGTCCTAATTCGATGACGAGGCATTAACTTCAAAATATCCAATGTCTGGTCACTTTCACGGCCAGAAATTTTCTCCGGTTGCTTCGATCACAAGGCGGTGCTCGACGGCCATTGGGGCATGTCACGAAATTGTGTGAACGCAATTGGCCGACTAAGGCCACACCTGCACTCGTGTAGTTAAGGGCAGGAGAAGCCATCAAAGACTGAGTTTGTACTGTTCTAGCGAAATTCATCTGCATCTAGCCACCATATGTATGTGTCTACCAAAAGTCCAAAACACACTAAACTTGAAGTGCCAGATCATACAGATACGACACTGAATTACCCTACAAACTTGCAACTGGAAAACCATGGAAAATGAGGATTTCTTTCTGATAATCGGGTCGACCAATCGCTACATACCAAACGATCTCAACGAGACAAGGCAGGACACACACCACGAAAGCCGACTTGATAGGAGCTAACATGGTTAGGATGACCTTATTAAGAAACTTGGCATCGATGAGAAACATAAGAGGGACCAGTACCGACTTAGGCCTAATGGCAACAATTAATCAATAGCCCCAAGGATAATTATCACGAGGATTAGGACTGGGCACTGCTGGGGAAGACAATCGGGACCATCACTACTTAATTGAGTAATAGCTTAGGCTTAATGCCAATCAGTAGCACTAATCACATATCGCACAAAGATGACGAAGGAAGCCACATACCTTACATAGAAAGGCCAATAATAATGATCGGCTCACATCGCAGCATGGACTCCTACCTCATAAATGAACTCAAACTCGGATTTCAACTACTCAACAAATTCTAGATGCCTCATGCCTGAAACGCTTACGAGGCATCAGCCTCAAGCTCAGAGAAACTGAATACCCTTCACACAAATTGAAGATACAAAGGAATTGGTGAACTTTAATTTCTAGTTTTTTTTTTCGAAGAATAATACAATACCAGACAGCCAACAAGCAAAGTCATCTACCGTTCAAGTTCAAAAAGAGGTCTAGAATATATGATATATCAGTAGAAGTTCCGCTACATGTTGACAAAAGCAAACAGTCTTGCAGACTACATTAAAACATATGAATGATGCTACATTTGACTTCCTAATCTTGATTGGTTGTCAGATTAGGACAATCCCCACCTCATTTATGAAATTCCAGGCAATGAAGACCACCCAACCTTAAACCGAAAAATGATGAAGTATGATCAATGAATTCCAGCTGGTGATAAATATTATTAACCTGACAAGCTTTCTCGCCTTGGACACAGGATTTAATAACGGCTATATGGTGAAGCCATATTGTTCTGAGGTGGTGGAGTTGGCTGTCTGGGTCTTGCGTATTCAGCAAATATGACCCAACCATCAAGAAACTACACACAAACAAAACAAAAACTTCAGTTCCAAGATAGAAAAGTGTGTATACTAAATATTGATAACAAATAAATGGACAACCATTCCCACTATCAATGGAGGAGGAAGGCTGAATCGACATTAATAAACAAAACCCCTAAAAAGTAGCAGTGCCAGAGAAAGGGTGATAAGTAATATCTGAACACTTTTGTATTTTAAAGGGCCTTACAAGTTAAGTAAATTCCCAAACAGGCATCAATAGTGTTTGTTTTGTTCAATGAATGCAAGAAAAAAATATTGCAGCAATAACAAATAACAAGATAACTAAATATATATAATGTCAAAATTATGAAATCTTATTTTCAAATTTGTAAAAGCTTCCTGCAATTGTGAGTTTGAACAACGTGACAATCTGGTGGCTAATGATCTTTGGACACGAGACCATGTGGTCCGCAGGTTATGGGATGAACATGCAGCAAAGTTTGGTCATGAGATAATTGCATTAGCTTATTGGAACTTCCATGCCATGGAACTCCATAGAGTGAAAGATGAAAAAAATGTGGAGCATGCAGAATAAGATGAAGTGGCTTTTTGTTAGTCAGAAAAAGTAAACATAATTTTTTGGTTCAAGGAGAGTTCCAGATACGTCTTTGAAAGAAAACTAAGTATGCTAAAACTGCTTCGGTGCTTGAAATGTTAAGGTAATGTAATCATGAGGGCCCCGACTGGAAATTTCTTATATTGTGCTTATATCAGTCTTAGAGCTTCCTTCTGAATGGAAGCAAAGTATGTGCATTCTGTTTGCCTTGAGCCAGCGGGAAGTAACTGAAAACATTTTCCTGAAGAATTGATGAAATATTTTTTTAGAAGGAAGATTTTCAATTTGTTAAACATCTTTCTTTTTTATAGTTCTGGCGTTTGAGTGTCAGTACATCCAATGGAACAAGGCTACCCCAACAAATATAGAGAACCCTTTTGTTGGGTTGGGAGAAGCCATATTGCATCGCCAAAATATTGTATTTTCACTGACTTATCGTGTAGTGTCTAACAAACTTTAACGGTGCAAGGAATACTGTCAACTGACCTTTCCATCCATCCCTTCTATGCCTTTGGCAGCATCTTCTAGGGTAGCATACTTTACAAAACCAAACCCCTTGGAATATCCTGATACTCGATCAGTTACCACTCTAGCTGTAAACAGCAGAGAATCATTAGTAAATATTTACTATAGAAATCATTAATAAAGATAACAATTGTGAAGGATAACTACACACCATGAACTACTTCACCAAACTGAGAAAAGGCTTCGTGTAATTTTTCTGTAGTAGTACGTTTGCTGAGCCCTGAAAACAAACAGATAAGTGACCTAATAAAAATCATAGTAAACCAAAAGGAAACTCAAGTGTAAATGAATCTAGACTACTAAAGTCTGCGAGGCACTTATCAACTAAACAAAGGATGAAAGATTTAATCTAAAAATACATGGAAGACAAAGAAATTGCCTTCAAGATCATCAATGTACATGGATAAGCTCTGAAACTCTTCCTGTGCTTAACAAAAAATAAATTGTTGCCTTAAAAAATAAATTTGCACTTCCAACCCTTACTAATGAAAAAAAAAAAAAATTCAAAACTACATCTGACTGACGGGCCATGGGAAACAAAACATTAGCTCGTTAATGAAGAGTCGACTATCCATTGTTAGCATCAAGTGGTTCATGGATTTTCAGAATCAACTTTCATACTCACTAAATACATCAGTCATTTGCACATTCACAAATAACATTGACTGAGGAGTAAACAATCATTTCCAAAAGATACTATTTATTCTATTATACCTGACAGTAAACCTATACGAAGAAAAAAAAAAAACAACTGCTAAAGACAAATGTCAAAGAAAGAGATCACAAAAACTCAAAATTTATGGCCCGTTTAATAACAATTTCATTTTTGGTTTTTGGTTTTAGTTTTTATTTTTTTTGTTAGGGATGGAGCGGAAATGCATGGAAGAAATGAGAGATATACAGGGATATACATAAGTGAAGGAACGAGGGTCGGACAGACGTAGAAGAAATGTATAGGTACAGAAGATGAAAACTAAAACAAAAAACACTAAAGTTTGTTCACTTTCAAGATTTTGTTTTCATTCATTCTTCTATATTACTTCCCCTCTCTCCCCACCTCCACGACCATTCTTCAAGCATAAACATTGAAAACTAAAAACGAATTAGTTATCAAACGGACCGTAGATATCCAACATTTAATATCAGTCTATAATTAAGAAGTTACAAACCTTTAACTCTGTAACAGTCTGTTTGGCTTGTCAGGGAAAAAAAAAAGCATAGAAAGTTGAAAAGCAACAGTTGGTACCTAATTAGGATTTCTGTAATTAAAAACAAAATGTTAAATTGTCGAAGTAAGCAAACCAATCAATTTAGTGGGGGTTCAGTTTCTAGGTTGCCCAAAAGTGATTAACATATCAAATAAGTCTAAACAAAATTAGGATTTCCTGTAATCATTTTCTCAGCAGCTAACTCAAAAATCATTGAACAAGTCACACAAAGATGCGAGCTTTTTACAAATTAATTCAAAATAGACCAAAACGCCGATGACCCATAAGAGATAAATCGGTAAACATGAAGGAAATGAGGGGAAAAGCCGGAAAAGACGAAGAGATTGACATACCGGAGACGAAGAGGTTGGTGCTCGGCTCAGCCTGCTCTCGAGCCGAAGGCGTTGCAGAGTTCATTGGGGGAATGAAACTTGTTGAGAAGAGCCGCCCCAAGCCACGAGTGGAACCGGCGGCCACCGCCGCCGCTGCTCGCAGTGTCAAAGCCATTGTCTTTGCGCTTGAGAGTCTATGCTGCAACGGCCTAAAAGCTAAAACCCTATTCGATAAACCTGGATGTAGATTTTCGGGAGAGAGCGAGAGAGACAGAGAAAGGTCAGCTATATGAGAGAGATTGGGAAGCTAATTGCTGAAGTTACGAAATTGGCCTCCGTTTCTAGTATGTAATGCCTAAAAGGGGTAGGGTTTAGGGTTTAGTCTAAAAACATCTTCAAATGAAATGTCAAAATATTCACATAAATTATAACAGTAATAAAATATCACACTAATATTCTCCAAACGAAATGTCAATTCCTATGTGGCGCTGACATGAATTGGCAGCAAAGAGGTTGTTGTCAAATTTGACAGTAGCTTCAAATATTTTTAATTAATTATTAAATGTTTTTTTATTAATTTAATCATTATTATAATTAAGAGAGTTTTAACCAAAAACCCACGGTAAAGTTCATTTTAACGAAAAATCACATTTTTACACTAAAAAGTCAATCCTTGTACTATTCATTTTATTCTTTATTTTATCTTTATCATTAAAACTCAAAGTTTTCAAATCATTTTCATTAGTTTTTCTTATAATTAATATTGAATGTTGTCCGTGCATTCGTTTAGATTCTATCTCTCCTGTTGGTGGCAATTTAATAATTAATTAAATGTTATTTATTAATTTTTTATTCATTTAACCATTTATGTTATAAAAAATAAAATAATAATTTAATTTGACATATCAGGTGAAAAGTAAAACTTAAAAGATGTCAAAATACCACATAGGCTATCAAATTCAAATTTTATGTTCAAAATTTGACATCTCCTTTAGATATGGTCTAACGGGTCAATCAATGGTTCGTTGGATGAAATATTGTTGTGGGATGGGGTCCCCTTATAAGCAACTATCATCCATTATAAAAGAGTAATATTAGAGAAACTAAATTTGTAGACTAAATTGTTACTTAGACCTGGTTTGGTACTAAGGTGATTATGAAAAAAACTGATGTCAAAAAAATCTGGGAGCTGTTTTTGTGTTTGGTAAACATTTAGCTTCATTTTTTTCACAGTTTTTGGTGAAAAAGAACCAAAAACAAGAAGCTGCAAAACCCAACTTTGAAAAATCGACTTTTTTTTCACATCTGTTTTACATAAAATTTTACCAAACACTATAATACTGCTTTACCAAACACTCTGCTGCTTTATTTCACAAATAATTATTCTCATAACACAGCAGAAGCAACTTTTTTCAAAGCACAACAATACCAAACCAGCTCTTAGTACTATGGACAAGTGGTATTCATCTTCACTTGAAAGTAAAAGGTCTTAGGTTCGAATCTCATGGACGACGAATTCGATACCAAATTAGACTGTCCATTTTGTGGTTTAACCGAACTTCCTCTTCCCTTAGTGTAAAATAATTAATGTACTAAAAAAAATTGTAGACTAAATTTTGTAAATTAAATAATATAGAAGTTGATGATTGGATTATTATTTAAACGTTGATAAGCGTGCTCATTTCTTATTGGTGACACATCTTTTAGTTTACAAATTTAATATATAAATTTAGTCTTCCTAACATTACTCATTATAAAATTCACACTAAATTTGCAACTTTTAACATAGTATCTCCTTCTTTCGAAAAGACAAAAAAAAAAAAAAAAAACATTTATCCGCTAAGCTGTGGTGAGAGAAAAGAATTTCGGTGCGTCAGGTGCTGAAACATTCTAAACTCGAAATGTTATCTTTACAGCCTGCTACTATTCTTCTGTTACCATTCACATACCCCTAAACTCTAAACCTCACGAGCCTCCACTGCTTCAATTGCACTTTGGACCTTCTTGAGGGCATGAGTTCGAGCTGCGTCTCCCTACGCCTTAATTTTATTTATTTTATGTTTTACTTTTTATTTTTGTTAAATTTTTATTTTACCCATACCACAATACCAAACTATTATCTTCATGTCGTACAAAATGCATTTTGAAAATTTTCTTATAATCCATCCTTCCAATCCGACATTGACGAGATCAAAAACCTGATAACGTCAGCGTCCAATCAGGGCTCACTACCGTCCTCCCCGCTGTCGTCGATTTCGACCTGCCCTGCTCGACGGTGGCGTTGCAAACCCAGGGAAAGCTGGACGTCAAGCCTTAGAGCTTCCACGACAGAGAGGAAGACGGAGATGTTGGGGACTTGGGTGGCGTCTTCAGGATGTGGGAAGGTGAAGACTTGGATTTGGGTATCCTCACCGCCAAACCGAAAAACCGTTTGGCCGTGGAGATTTACGCTCTGCGGCCAAACGGTTTTTCTACTTCCGGGGTGTCTTATTCTTCCTGATTTCCTGCACCGACCTTGTCGTAGTCGCCAGAATCTGCAACGGCCCTCTCGGGGCCTCCTTCAACCCGTGGAGAGGAAGAAGCTGTTGGGCCATGTGCTGTTGGCCTACTTATTAATGGGCCTTTTGTGTTAAATTTTATTTACAAGTTATTAAAAAAAATAAAAGCGAACCAAACCAAACCAAAAATCAAATGAAACCGAACTCACTCCTACTACTACAGGGCACACTGAGTCGAGGGCACGCAACTTGGCAGGGATTAACCGGAGGCCTTACAAGGGGAGCCAGGGCTTTGTCTCCGAAATTTACGTAGCTTTCTTGGAAAGCAAGCTACCCAACAGCCCCAGGTTAAAAACAATTATTATTATTTTTTAATTCTGGGGTTAGAAATTAAAATTAGGGCGTGGACTATAATTAAATAACTAATTTGGAAAGATAAATTGAAAAATAAAAAAAATACACAAACACAAACGGATGTGAATATACTCACTCACGAGTCACAAAAGCAAAATGCTGGATGCTCCACCACTAAAATGTTAATTTTCCATATCTCTGTGTGTCCTAGTCAAAACTACTTTTTTATTTATTAGCCATGGAATGGATAGAACTTTGTAACGAGAAAAAGTATAAAAATAATGAATAAAATAAATTATTCGACCCAAATCACATATTCTTTGTTCTTATATTCGTCTTGTTCCCTAGATTTGGAGGTTGAAAGGTGATAAGTTTGTATTTTCCACGCAATTCATGAACGCCAAGGCCCTATATTCTTCTCAATCTTTATGAGGTTATGCGTAAGATGAGATGACCATCAATATCTTGTATCTATCCTATCACGGTGTCAAAATTAAAAAAATTAAAAAAAATTAAAAAATTGAAAGAAGGCAATGGAGGTGAAAATATAATATTAGTCATCTTCCCTACCAACTAGAACTTATATGGTTGACGTGGACGGTACCATTGCTCAAGGTTTAAGATTGTCCTTCGTTTAGATTCTTGCTTAAATCTTATCATTTGGACAAATAAATAAGATGAGGATTTTATTTTATTTATAATAATTCCAAAATTGTTTTTCCTTCAACGAGATATTTGTGCTTAGAGATGGAGGATCTGGTATAAGTCACATAATAAATTAGTCATAATAATTTGATACCAAATTCGTCCAGCAAATAACTCGAATCTAAGACCTCATAATTTCATGTAGAAAAAACACCGGTAAACTGTAACTACTAAGTGACAATAAAATTTAAAATAAAAACCTTTACAGTACCTATCAAACATGAAAATTGCTTCCCCTGAGGAGCGCCTGAATTTCCAAATTTAGATTCTTGCTTAAATATTATCATTTGGACAAAGAAATTATTTTATAATAATTTCAAAATTGTTTTTCCTTCAACGAGATATTTGTGCTTAGAGACGTAGAATCTGGTCTAAGTAACATAATAAATAGTCATAATAATTTGATAGCAAGGTCGTCCAGCAAATAACTCGAATCTAATATCTTATAATTTCAAGTAGAAAAACTACTGGTAGACTGCTAAGTGACAAAAATATTTAAAACAAAAACCTTTAAAGTACCTACCAAACATGAAAGTTGCTTCCTCTGAGGAGCGCCTGAATTTCCAAATTTATCGTTTGTAACGTGCACACAAAGAACAGCCAACCTCCCCACGTCACCTTCCAGCGCAAGAGAATTGCCTCATATCGAACCCTTTTGCCCAAATTCTGCCTCCAACATATTTTTGAATCTTTTTATTTTTATTTTTATTTTTATTTTTTATTTTAATTTGGTGAGTAATGGGATCATATCCTTCACTTTAAAATTAAGCTAGCTTATTATTCTACTTCCTCTATAAATTCAGAATCCTCCATGAAGCTGGAAGCTAACCTCAAGACTACGCCATGAGACTATGCCTCGTCCTGGTTTTGATAGCCAGGCTCTTCGCAAACGCGGAGTCTCTTAGCAGAGCTGATTTCCCCGACGGGTTTGTTTTCGGAACAGCTTCTTCAGCATACCAGGTATTCCTTTGTTTCTGTTTCAACATCTCGACAGAGCTTGCATGTCAAATAGCAGTTTAACCATTCATGGGGTCTTGTATGTGGTGTAGTTTGAGGGCGCTGCAAATGAAGGAAACAAGGGAGTTAGCATATGGGACACTTTCGCGAAAGAACCAGGTATGAATTCAAATTCAATGAGGCATTTTAAATGATATGCAAAAAACAAAGAGAAACTTACGGAAGAAGCGGCTTTGAGATTGTTTTGTTTGTTTAACAGGGAGGATTCTGGACTTCAGCAATGCAGACACAGCAGTTGATCAATATCACAGATTTCAGGTGAACATAACAGTGACCTAAGTTGACTTTCTGGAGTTTTAACCTTACAAGCGATAGCAGATTGTCTCAAAGTTTTCTTTTCTTCCAAGTCTTTTTTTAGTTCAGACAAGTCTTTCATAATAAATTAAGAGAAAATTAGAGCAACGGTCCCTTAACTTTAGGCTAATTGGAGCTTGGGTCCCTAATAAAAAATCAGTGACTATTGGCCCCCCTGAACTTGTCGCAGTGGTGCAATGGTCATTTTGAGTAACCTAATTAGAACTTTCATCCCTTATTTACCCCGTTAAAATTCTTTATTTTTAATAGAAGTTATAACGGTGTTACTATAATAGCATAACACAAAACATATCCAGAGTAAACAAATGGCAGAGTTCAAGTATATTGTAAATTACTAAACTAAACTTGATATTTGCAGAGTGATATAGAGTTGATGAAGGATATGGGAGTGGATGCATACAGATTCTCAGTATCGTGGCCGAGAATTTTTCCAAGTAAGATTTGATTCTGTCCAGATTTTCGTTTTCTCTATCTCACTGTCTTCTGATTACTTACTGCTTTCGAAAATAACCTGAAACAGACGGAACAGGAGAACCCAACTCAGAAGGAATAAACTACTACAACAGCCTTATAGATGCTTTACTCGAAAAAGGTACGCAATGAGACCTCAATAAGAATATAATTCTTAGATGGAGAATTCTTTTTCAAGAATACAATTCAATTGCTTTAACAATGCCATTGAAATCCATAACTGATTTTAAGAAAATAATTCTTTCTCAATGAAATGTTATTGAAGGTCAAACTATTCTTTTCGATTAGGGATCAAACCTTTTGTAACTCTATATCACTGGGATCTTCCACAAGCGCTTGAAGACAGATATGAAGGGTGGTTGAGTGCAAACATAATGTAAGTATCAAACAGCTGCAGGAAAGGATTTGAAAATGCTGAAAAAGACTTAACATTTACCTCACTTGCTTACAGAAAAGACTTCGAACATTATGCCTTCACCTGCTTCAAAACTTTTGGCGACAGAGTTAAGAACTGGATCACCTTCAACGAGCCTCATGGTAATGCACTCCAAGGTTATGACTTGGGCATACAAGCTCCGGGGAGATGTTCTATTCTTGGCCATTTGTTTTGTAAGAAGGGAAATTCATCTGCTGAACCGTACATTGTTGCTCACAACATCCTCCTGTCTCATGCTGCCGCTTATCATAGTTACCGGCAATTTTTCAAGGTACCCTCATTTCTGTAAAATTATACTTCCTAACTCAAATAGTAAACTTTATGCCATATGTTAAAGAAAATGACACATGGAACTTATGTTTTTTTTTTACTGAACCATCTAGGAGATACAAGGAGGCCAAGTAGGAATTTCATTGGATGCCAAATGGTATGAGCCTGCATCTGATAATGATGAGGACAGAGATGCAGCACACAGAGCAATCGATTTTTCATTGGGATGGTAATTTCTTTGTAAATGTTCTATGAGTCACAGAGACCAAAAATTGTATAAACACAAATAACACAGAAAAGTGAATCAGGTTCCTTGATCCACTATTTTTTGGCGAATATCCACTTTCAATGAAGAAGCTTGTGGATAAGAGACTACCAGAGATTTCGCAGGATATCTCAAATTTCCTGGTTGGAACCTTGGACTTTGTTGGCCTAAACCACTACACCACATATTATGCTCGAAATGACAGGACTCGGATTCGAAAGTTCATAATGCAGGATGCTACATCTGATGCTGCAGTCATTTCAACCCGTAAGATGCCAAAACACTTTCTACCCGCTTGTAGTGTTTAGTTGCTGGAATGATCACCGGAATGGAATTGAATGGAATGAACGCTGAAAGAGTTAAGGTCAAAGTAGGACAAGTAAAATTGGTAAGGAAAGCAATTGGAATTATAAAACACTTTGGGCGAAAGGAAATTGCCCATTCCAATTTTTTTTTTCCTGTCGACCAAGCAATGGTATGGGCATTCCATCCGGCATATTCCTGCGTATGGAATGTCTATTTCATTCCAAGGTCCATTCCAGAAGACCAAGCACTACCTAATTACAAAAGAATCAAAATCAGGATGTCAACTGATTATTATTATACCTGGCTTTCATTGTAGCATACAAAGGAGGAGTGGCAATCGGAGAAAGAGTATGTCTCAAACCCTTCCTAAAACCTTGAATTCAGTCACTGATTTCATATTTAAGAAAGCTCGTCGGTGCTTCCTCCTCCAGGCAGCTTCCCGCTGGTTGCGCATAGTCCCATGGGGCATCCGAAAGTTGGCAAGACACCTGAAAGATAAGTATGGGAACCCCCCGATGATAATAACAGAAAATGGTGAGTAGACTAGATTCAGATTCACAACTTACAATTCAAAGTTTCATGAAATAACAGATGTTCAAATGCATGAGCACAGGTATGGATGATCCAAATAAACGTTTCATACCTTTAGAAAAGGCTTTAAACGACGAAAAGAGGATAACCTTTCACAGGGACTATCTCTCGAACCTATCTGCAGCTATAAGGTAATAACCACTCCCCACTTCGATATCTTTGTGATTTTATTTCGTGACATTTCTAGAACTCCAACATTGTAACTTAACAGAAAACTCAATCAATGCAGGCAAGACAACTGTGACGTGCGTGGTTATTTTGTGTGGTCACTGCTCGACAACTGGGAATGGAACATGGGATACACTGTTCGGTTCGGTCTCTACTATGTGGATTACAAGAAGAACCTGACAAGGATTCCTAAAACTTCAGTACAGTGGTTTAGAACACTTCTCCAAGTTAACGATGACCCGAGACACCACATCTAACAACATTTTTTTTGCTACAAAGCATATAAAGAACAATTTGTACAGATGCAATGAATATATCAAAGCAAAAATCTATGAAATTTCAATGATGAAATCCCAAAAGTCCAAACCTTCTTATTTGTCTATTCCAACTAACAAATTAGACAGACAACATTGAACCAAAACAAAAAAAAACATTAACTAAAACAAAAGACATGAGTTCACAATCAAGCATCACAAAATGATGTCCATCAGATACGGTAGTTTCCAATTTACAGCAACCCAAATTGCTTTGATTAAATTTTCAATTAACTGACTTTAATTGTGTTTCTGAACAAAAAGAAAAATGCAAAATTTGTGGAGAAAGAATTAAAGAGCGCGGCAAGAATGGCATGCATACCGGCATTTCGCCCGCAGAGGCGGAGTAGGACTCGAAACGATGAGGTCGGAACCGTCTCAGGACGCCATCGGCCGTATTCTGGGAGGACCCTCCCAAAGGATTTTTATTAGGATTAGCATCCTCTCCCGAGTCAAAGGTGAGGAACCTCTCAACAAGTCCATTGAAATTTTATTCAACGACTATACATTCTAAAAATTATAATAATTGTAACTATTGGATAAAATTTCAACGATCCGATAGGCTTACTTAGGAGGATCCTCACCCTTCGCTTGGGAGGGATCCTAATCCTAATTATTAGATATTTGAAAATTAAAAAAATACGGCTAGGTCTTTTTAGCCATTCATTTTGTTTCTCTAGATCCGTCTATGCATCCGTCTACATCATGACTCTTGCTTAGACATTTTATTTTCGTTCAATAAATTGTAAGAGACTTGCCGAATAATTAGATGAAAACTCATTATTTGCTTGTTTTTCTTATTTTCAATATGACCTAATACTTTAAAGAAAAACTAATGAAAAAAGATTTGAAAACTTTGAGTTTTAACGATAAGGACAAAATAAATAGTAAAGTGAACAGTACAATGATTAATTCTTTAATGTAAAAATATGATTTTTCGTCTATTCATCGGAAGTTTTTCGTTAAAATTCTCATACTTTAATTCTATGCCATTTTACTTTGTAATTGATGTATTTCAATACAATTGTGTTCCCCTAATCTCCTTCCTACACTGCCTACACTTAAAGATCTCAACTAACCGTCTGACCAGGGCTATCATCTTTTAAAATTTTAAAGGGACAAAAAGGAAGGGCGGGTTTGAATAATCTTTTGACTCATAGTGAAAAAGGTGAAAAGATATTCATAAAACTAGAAGAAAAATCAGAAGCGCACCCTACCGCACCACGGGGCCTGCAAACATAACAATTGGATACAGAAAAACAGTGCTCGGAGCCACCGCTCAAATCTGTTCAAGCCTTTCTCCTTCATTCCTTGCCCCTCTCACCTCACCAATAATTAAACACACACAAATATACGCCTCAAGAATAAAAACACGCACAAATATAAAGAAAATTAACGTTGCTGTCTGTCTGTGTTTGCTTCTTGATATCAAAGCTCTAATTTTGTGCCGGCGTTCGGTTCTTCCTCGCAGAACCCCGATTGTGTCCCGGTGCAATTTCTATTTTTGCCCATGAAACGAGGGTACTCGGAATCGTCGTCCACCTCCCTCGGGCCTCCCCAGTCGAGATTCAAACACAACCCAGAAGGTGAAAATCGTAAACCCCTTTTGTTTTCTGGTTCGGATTTGTGATTTCTTCTGGTAAATTGGTAATCTTTTAGGTTATTTCGGGAGTTTTTGGATCTAGGTTTTGTGGGTTTTTGTTGATAAATGAAGGAAGAGAATTGCACAAGTTGAAAACTTTTTTTCTTATTTGTTTTGTGTTTTCGATTGCCAATTTATTGAATGTTTTCTGTGTCTGATTAGTGTGGGGGATTAATTCGAACCTGGGATTTTTAGTTCCCCACTATTTGGTAACAGAGGAAATGGAGAAGAAGGGAATACGACTAAATTTTGAATTTTCTAATTCTTACTATTTTTTTTAGCTGAAACAAAGCAAAGGAAATATATGTATAAATATATGCATTTTCTGTGTGTGTGTGTGTGTATCTAATAGCCATACAATAGGAAAATTCAATATTGAAATTTGAAATCTTCATGGTTTTCTAACCATGGTTTATTACATTGTGGTCTTAGGTGATGCCGAATTCTTGGAGGATGAAACCACAAAAAAATTTGCACGTAAAGTGGCCGATCATTACAGTGCAAGGACGAATCAAACTCTAGAAGAACGAGAAGCTAGTCCAATCATCCATTTAAAGAAGCTTAACAATTGGGTTTGTCTTTTAATCTCCTTAATTAATACTTCAAAATTGTTTGATCACACTTCATACTTTTCAGTTGGTTATAGTTCCTTCTCTTGTTGAGCAGATTAAGAGTGTTTTAATCCAGCTATATGCTCGCAAAGGAGATGCTGTTCTGGATCTTGCATGTGGCAAGGTATTGGTGGTCCATTTGTATCTTTTCGTTTTCCCCTCCCTGCAACTAAATGTTCTCTTTTAAATGTAATTTATTGTCTAGGGGGGTGATCTCATCAAATGGGACAAGGCAAAAATTGGGTATTATGTTGGAATTGATATCGCTGAAGGCTCGGTAAGTATTTAAATTTGGTTATACTTGGCTTATTAGTTCGCATTTTTCTTTTTGATAAATAGCTTCGCTGAGTCTGTCTAATCTCTTCATCGCAGTTAACTAGTTATTGTTTAATGGAGTAGAAAACATCTAGGACCATATTTCGCTGTATTCCCACTCAATTGCTGACCTACATTTCAGGATGCATAAATTTGCATTAGTAGTAATAGATTTTTAGTTGGCTGACATTAGAGCTATGGTGAAGTGTCGTATTATCAAGAATGTTGGAAGTCAGTCTTGTTGTCTGCCTCTTGTCCTTAGTGTGATTATTTTTAAAAGTGTGCCATCATCAACAATCTTATTATTGTGTTCAAATATTTGTACAGATAGAAGATTGTCGTACTCGTTACAATGGTGATGCTGACCATCATCAGCGTCGTAAAAAGTTTACATTTCCTGCGCATCTTATATGTGGAGATTGCTATGAGGTAATTGCAAATTGGATAGCTGCTAACTAAGCCATTTCTCTGTTCCTTGGGAGCTTGCCTTTGCTTCACTCAATCAAAGAAGAAGCCATTAGGAAGCAGCATATGTTTACCCCGCTTAGTGCGTCTGTAACGTATGATTATTAATGCTATGTATGTGCATGGTTTCAGGTTCGCCTGGATAAAGTCCTGGCTGATGATGCCCCCTTTGATGTTGTCAGTTGCCAGGTGAGCCTCTCATGCACTAATAGCTTTCTACCTTATATTGTAATGTAATTAAAAGATTTGAGGGGAGGAGAGCCTTTGAAACTGACTGTTTAAAACACATTTTATTTTGCAGTTTGCCTTGCATTATTCCTGGTCTACTGAGGCACGTGCGCGGCGAGCCTTGGCTAATGTATCGGCTTTACTGCGCCCTGGCGGTACTTTTATTGGAACAATGCCTGATGCAAATGTGATTATCAAAAAGCTCAGAGAAGGTTTATCTTAGGCCTTGATGATTCATTTCCTTTGAGAGTCATGTTAAACTGCGACCTAGGAAAAAGAAACAAATTTGACACTGTTAACTGCGGTCATTTGTCTCATAAGCAATATATTCTCTCTGGCCGAGTAGATAGTGAAAATTCATTTAAAAAAAAAAAAAAAAAAGAATTTCCCATTTCACTCTCGTATGTTTAGCATTAAGATCTTGGGCATGGCAGACTACTTTCACAGTTATTTATCGGAGATGGTATTTTCATTGTGATGTCCAGCTGAAGGATTGGTCTTTGGTAATAGCGTCTACTGGATACGCTTTGATGAAGACTTTTCTGAAAAGGTATGAATTTACTCAGATGCTTTGTTTTTCAGTTTGGCAATTCTCCAATCTGAGACAAGCATTTATAATCTATTTTTTTCAATTATTCCTAATTTGACAAATACTTCATGTATGGTGCAGAAATTCAAGTCTTCGAGCCCCTTTGGTATCAAGTACAAGTTTCACCTGGAGGATGCTGTTGATTGCCCGGAATGGATTGTCCCATTTCATGTTTTCAAATCGTTGGTCGAAGAGGTATACTTTCTTCTTTCATCACAGATGGTGACAGAAGTGCATTCAGAAGCGCACACTGCTAATTGAAAGGAGCTATTTGAAACGTTTATCTACTTTTTGCTAAAAATCTTCTCGTTTTCATATAAATGAATTGACCTGTTGCAGTACGATATGGAGCTAGTTTTGGTGAAGAACAACCACGAATTTGTGCATGAGTATATGAAAAAACCAGAATTTGTGGAGTTAATGCGGAGGCTTGGTGCATTGGGTGATGGTAACCAAGATCAAAGTAAGTTTGTTTCCTATCAACTGTGACAATTTAGTTTCAGTTGCTTATTTATGATTTTTTTTTTTAATGAGCTTAATGCTTCTCATTTCTGCTTTGCAATATCCAGGTACACTATCGAAAGATGAATGGGAAGTAGCTCATCTCTATTTGGCATTTGTCTTGAGGAAGGTGAGTGCACACTCCTGGACTCCTAGTACCGATGCGATTTTCCATTTTTATGTTGCTGCTACCATTATTACAGTCCGTTAGCATTTGCTGTGCGTTAAATCTATGTTCTTTCCAGCGAGGGGAACCTGATCGGAGACAAGTAAACGGTAGGAGAGACAAGGGGAAGATGCACATATCAAAAGAGGACGTCATGTGCATAAGTAATGACTAATGCAACACCAATTATGTCTTGAATGCCCATTTTTACAGCAGACGAGCAATGAATTTGCACGGCAGGAGAAGCCTGCTTAGCGGTATGGCAAAGCGAAGAGCTCGACTCCCCGCACCGTTCTACTAGCTACGATTACAAGTGGATGTAATTGTTCAGTTTTGTAGATTAATTATGATCTAAGATTTGTAATTTTCATTGTCATCAAAGCAGCAGAGGAAATAACTGTTTGTAGTATCTCTGCTATGAGAAATAGTTTAACTAGTCAAAGGTAAGCCACACAATGGACAACCTAATTTTGTTGAATTCGTCGTCTATGAGATTCTAAGACCTCTCATTTACAAGTGAAGAGGAAAATTATCAGACTGTAATACTAAGTGTCTAAAAACTAAATACTTATATTATTCCTGAGATTTGGAGAATAAAAGTTACCATACACTTCAATTAGGACGTTTCTCAAAGTTTGTCATTTTTTAAGTGATTAGGAATTAATCAGACGGTGGCTAACCGCCTAGCATGTGAGCGAATTTTAGAGCGTTGTTAAAAGCATCTACAAGCCAACCTAAGACGCCAAACTAGTCAAGATCAAGCATTCTAAATGCATAAATCATAACGAAAATCTGACCACAAAACACTCTCAGAAAAGTGAACCATGACAAAAATCCATACTACCGAAACTGCATAAGCTGTACATATTATGTCACTACCTTCTTTGTTGCTTAACGAAGGTTTCACACGAGGTACTTTCTGATACTGTATTTGAAAAAGAAAAAGAAAAAGAAAAAATCACGTACGCTAAAGAAATATGCACGCAGATTGCTCATCTAGTACCAATGCTTTGGGCATCAAATTGCTTTTATTTATTCCACAAACGCTCATTACGCAGAGACGCGCATGTTTGGGATTGTTTTTTCGGCAGATTGAGCTAGAATTAACTAAGCACGCTTCGTCAAGACCACCATAACAACCATAACCGCCAGTCCCATGAACGCAGATGCTACAACCGCCCCTGTATTCCCTCCGCCTGCTTCAGTCTCAGCTGCAGGGGGTTCGAAAATGTTCTGGATGAATGACGACAAATCATTGACCCACTTATCCACAGTAAGCTTGATTTTCTGCACAAAACCACCGAGCATATCTTCCAAGCTGTTAGATTTCTCTGATTCATCTTCAAGCTTCTTGGGTGAAGCTGGATAAGTATCTGCAGCATACTCTTCCGTGTTAAGATTACAGTTCTTGTTGGCCATAAATTGCTTGACCGCAGAATTTTGCTTCATAGCATTCCAGACATTCGGGTCACTTGTAATTGAAGCAAGAACATTCTGGGGGCATGAAACCAAGAAAATAAATCAAGTCCCCTAACAAATCGTACGAGGCCAGTCATCGTAAATTCGGGTAGCTTAAAGCACTTGACATTTTCAGAAGAAAAGACACATATAAATTTCATGTTCAAAGCAACTGGATCCCGAAAGGGCAAGGGATTGATTCAATCCCTTGCCCTTTCCGGGATCCAGTTCCTTAGACGTGGCTTAACCGTGACCGTGGCTTAACTGTGACCGTTCAAATACCTGAACTTCAGAACTTCTACTCAGCATTTCAAATGCTTGAAGAGCATGTTTCGGCACTGAAGTCCTAGTAAGAAGTAGGGATCCCATCTCCTCAGGTTCAGGGTTTTTTATCAGAGGCAGCCCAGCCGCACCAGCAGCAGCAGACGGCTCCCCCAAATCAGTAGATTTGGGTGAAGAAAGATACACCCTGAAAGTTCATGTACGGAACGCATGATAGAGCCAACATTAGTCTACAGATTATACATAAACATCAACAAAATGAAGAAAAACTCTTTCAATCTTATAAATTTGGCGCCTCGTAACAGTGCAACCGATTACGCTTATAGAAGGGGGATAACTTCTGATCTCCCAAAATACGAAATCAAGAAGACATCAACAGGACTACAACCACATCTACAGTTGGATAACAAGAAATTGTTAATTCCATTCAAAAACCAATAAACTCAAACATATTTTCTTCGCACCGAAAACCATTTCAGTAAGTAATTTCTTCCACATTCGACCAAAAAAAAGGAAATTAATTTCTTCGACCATTCATGTTCAACAACAAAATCGGCTTCTACAAATACAAATATATCCCAAATGAAAATTCCCAAAAACTAGAAAAACACAATGTCAAACATTCTCTTTCTATTTGGCAATTTGTAATTCAAACAAAGCAATTCCACAATACCAGAGCAGAAATGTAAATTTCCAATAATTGCAAAAAAAGTAGATTTTCATAATTTTGCAATTTTCTTTTCTCGTTAACCAAACAGAGCATAACACAAAAAAAGAATGGAAATTCATTGGAAAATAATAAATAAAACAATTAAATTAGTTTATCATTTTAATTGGTGGAGAGATTATACTTATCGATGGCGTCTTTCAATTCAGCGGTGGCCTCCTTGGCCTCCTTGAAGCTCGGCGCAGCGTCGAAGACAACCGTCGGCATCGGCTCGCCGCCCGACATCACCAGGTCATCTTTTCCGGCACCGACCACCTGCCAGTCGACGAAGTCGTCGACCGCGTCCAACGCAGGCTTCTCGATCGCTGCCACTTCACCTCCGCCGTAGTTCTGAGCCGTGAGGGTCGCTGCCACGGGAATTGAGGCTTTGCGGACCGAATGACCAGTCGGCAAAGGAACCCCCGGCGCGACACGGAGCTTGCCGCCGTGGACCACGCCGCCGATCCCGGCCACCTTTGCCACCGACCTCATGACTCCGCCGCCTCCCATAGTTTTCTGTGGCTGTGAGTGTGGTAAAACCCTGGAAAGTAGAGAGTCGAAACCTCTCTCTCCCTCTCTCTCTCTCTCTCTCTCTTTCCGATTGATGTTTGTCGGAGGATAATCGGAATTTATAAGAATTTGTGGAGGAGAGAAAGAGGACTAAGGAATTTCCTTATTCTCTGGACACTGGCACTGATGATCGCTGTTAGGCTGCCACGTGGTAATTAATATATTTTTGCGTTACTTGTAAGCTAAGGAAAACCTAGTTTTTAAGCTTATTTTTAGCTACACCTTGCAACTCGTTTTTAATCTCATTTTGTCCATGTAACTCTAAAATTATAACTTTACTCCTAAAACTTTAAATTTTCTCCACTTCACTTCTTGAGCTCAATTTTGGATCATATTTTGTTATTTGAAACTCAAAAGTCATCACTTTACTCTTAATTCTGTTAATTACGTTATATTGAATGTTAACGCATAGGGAAGAGATAATATTTTTTGCTAATTTTTTTATTTTAGTCTGTAAAACTCAATTTTAATATTTTTAATGCATAATAGAGATTTATAATCAAATTTTTTGACACATGTGACATCAAAGAAACAATAGAGGGCGCATTTTTTTTTAACAAACGATACATTATATATACTAAGGGGAAATGAGGGTGGGTTCAGCCTCACAATGATCTAGTAATACTGTGGTTCAAATTCATTTTGAACGAGAATCGAACATAAAATCTTTCACTTACAAGTGATATCACTATACCGTAGTATTAAGCGGCATAAAAACCACTTAATACACATAACCTTAAAGTTCTTTAAAGTTTAAACTAAAATTTGGAAGAGTTGGGCCGATCCATTTCGAACTCAACGGTTTGAGGCCATCATCACTGAGGCCTATACCCATTCCCCATTGCCCCTTTGAGCTTTTCTTTGCAAATAGCACCTCAGAACATCATATTTTATAAACTTTGGTGAAGATACGCTATTTGCAAATGCGATTTGAGTTTTGTATTTTGTTTATGAAAGAATCACGCTAATCGCTTGAAGAAATGCATACCTTGATCATGCAATTAAGTTGGTTTATAGATAAGAGAAAAATTAATTAATTAAAATGATGTTTCCTGCACCAGATGATTAGTAGACAAACCTAAGTTTTTCCTCCATCTCCTAGTATCGTAGAAATGAGACATATTTTTTATTTTACTCATCTAGCTTTTTTTTTTGGTTAAAATGTTGATAAGGTGCAAAGAGCTTATAACCAATTGGTTTTTTTTTTTTTTCTCGCATCCGAAGTTCCGAATTCAAATCACTTCTTCTTAATTATTGTTTGTATATAAAAAAAAGAAAAGGTCGACAAAGTTGAAATGGAAAATTATATATGTAAACGTGGTCTCTTAATCGTTGTCGCACAGGGCCTTGAAAATATGAAGGCCCGGTCCCGATCACAACTATGTTCATGCCAAATGCCAATAACAACAACGTGATCTAATCATTTTTTTTTGTTTTTTTGTTAACGAACGATATTATCCACATTAAGGAGGTGATGAAGTGAGGTAAGCCTCGTAATATGCTAGCAATAATGTGGTTTAAATTTATCTTTTAACAAGAATCGAACCGAAGATCTCTCACTTACAAGTGAAGATAAATACTACTATATCGTAATATTAAGTAATAACAAGATCAAAATATCATCGTCCTAGGTTAATACAAAACAACAAGATACAAACCCTAATTCAAAACAAACTTACACAAGCAAAATAACTAGGAAAATGACGCCCATTTCAAAGCGTCCAGTGCCAATGAAACACAAATGCCAGTACCCAAAACTATTATCATAGAATTAATTAAGTTGGCTAAAGCAGTATGCTTCATGGTACTCATCTCAGTTTGAATTTTCATTAAGAGAACAAAACCATTATTATTTCTTTCAAACCATCTTCATTAAGAGAACAAAACAAAAGATTGAATAATTAGCCTCTATAATTTTGAATCTGGATGCAGATTAGGATGCAGATTGATGGTTTCAAAGTAGCTCATTTACTTCCAAGGTGATGAGAGATTTTTCATTATGCTCAAAATATGGGGTAGTACATCATATGTCATTATTGTGTGGTGAGATACTTGTATTAAAAAATTAACAATTTAAAAAATAGAATACAAGGTAGTACGTCACATGGTGTACCATCCGTGTTCGAAGCACAATAAAAATTTTCTCCAAGTTGACTGAGAGTCGGCTACAGAGATGATCAATGAGTGCCCATGAATATTCTGTAAATCACCATCATCTCCGTTTTAATTAAATGGGTATGCATATACCATCCCTAGTCGGCAGCTTCGGGATAGAGATTAGTTTAATAGAAAATACCATTTACGTCACATCTGCTGATTTGCAACTAAAATACAAACTCAGAAGATAATATATAAAACAAGGTCAAAACCTTGCTATCAAATATTGGTATAAAACAATAATTCTTGCCGTGCCAATTTAAACATGAAAAGATATTATAATTAGCCGAAGGGAATAAAGAAATTTGATCCTTTGCTTTGCTTAAACAGGATTAGGTGGCATTAGATATGGAATTAACAAAAAAGTTAGAAGATTAATTAGAACTGCTAATCTGATTCCAGGAGTTCACATCTGACATCTTTTTACAAGCTCCTCCCTTTTTCCTGCTCAAAACCCTCTGATAATCTCAAGCCAACCTGCTCCTACTTAGTGCTAATTAAAATATTTAAACTTGCATTAATATTCTAAAGAAAAAGAAGAAGACAAAGTTGGGAAACAAGTTGGCATCTCCTCTCCCTATCTCAGACCCCAAAAGCCTTTCTCCTTCCTCACATGATTCTTCAACACACCTGCAAACAGTCACATGATTATTGTTAGGAGCTCAAGAATCATTTCCATCATCTTACATGCAGACTCTTAGGGATGTAGTATTCATAGAAAACGTGAGTTTGTCCAGTTGGTCATGATTTTACTTGTCCTCTTGCAC